GATGAGTGTAGATGAGTGTAAATGTGTGTAGATGAGTGTAGATGAGTGTAAATGTGTGTAGATGAGTGTAGATGAGTGTAGATGAGTGTAGATGTGTGTAGATGTGTGTAGATGTGTGTAGATGAGTGTAGATGAGTGTAAATGTGTGTAGATGAGTGTAGATGAGTGTAAATGTGTGTAGATGAGTGTAGATGAGTGTAGATGTGTGTAGATGAGTGTAGATGAGTGTAAATGTGTGTAGATGAGTGTAGATGAGTGTAAATGTGTGTAGATGAGTGTAGATGAGTGTAGATGTGTGTAGATGTGTGTAGATGAGTGTAAATGTGTGTAGATGAGTGTAGATGAGTGTAAATGTGTGTAGATGAGTGTAGATGAGTGTAGATGTGTGTAGATGAGTGTAGATGAGTGTAAATGTGTGTAGATGAGTGTAGATGAGTGTAGATGTGTGTAGATGAGTGTAGATGAGTGTAGATGTGTGTAGATGAGTGTAGATGAGTGTAGATGTGTGTAGATGTGTGTAGATGAGTGTAAATGTGTGTAGATGAGTGTAGATGAGTGTAAATGTGTGTAGATGAGTGTAGATGAGTGTAGATGTGTGTAGATGAGTGTAGATGAGTGTAAATGTGTGTAGATGAGTGTAGATGAGTGTAGATGTGTGTAGATGAGTGTAGATGAGTGTAGATGTGTGTAGATGTGTGTAGATGAGTGTAGATGAGTGTAAATGTGTGTAGATGAGTGTAGATGAGTGTAAATGTGTGTAGATGAGTGTAGATGTGTATAGATGAGTGTAAATGTGTGTAGATGAGTGTAGATGAGTGTAAATGTGTGTAGATGAGTGTAGATGAGTGTAAATGTGTGTAGATGAGTGTAGATGTGTGTAGATGAGTGTAGATGAGTGTAAATGTGTGTAGATGAGTGTAGATGAGTGTAAATGTGTGTAGATGTGTGTAGATGAGTGTAAATGTGTGTAGATGAGTGTAGATGTGTATAGATGAGTGTAGATGTGTATAGATGAGTGTAGATGAGTGTAGATGAGTGTAAATGTGTGTAGATGTGTGTAGATGAGTGTAAATGTGTGTAGATGAGTGTAGATGTGTATAGATGAGTGTAGATGAGTGTAGATGAGTGTAAATGTGTGTAGATGAGTGTAGATGAGTGTAAATGTGTGTAGATGAGTGTAGATGTGTGTAGATGAGTGTAGATGAGTGTAAATGTGTGTAGATGAGTGTAAATGTGCGTAGATGAGTGTAAATGTGTGTAAATGTGTGTAGATGAGTGTAGATGTGTGTAGATGAGTGTAGATGAGTGTAAATGTGTGTAGATGAGTGTAGATGTGTGTAGATGAGTGTAGATGAGTGTAAATGTGTGTAGATGAGTGTAAATGTGTGTAGATGAGTGTAGATGAGTGTAAATGTGTGTAGATGAGTGTAGATGTGTGTAGATGAGTGTAGATGAGTGTAAATGTGTGTAGATGAGTGTAGATGAGTGTAAATGTGTGTAGATGAGTGTAAATGTGTGTAGATGAGTGTAAATGTGTGTAGATGAGTGTAAATGTGTGTAAATGTGTGTAGATGAGTGTAGATGAGTGTAAATGTGTGTAGATGAGTGTAGATGAGTGTAGATGAGTGTAGATGTGTGTAGATGAGTGTAGATGAGTGTAGATGTGTGTAGATGAGTGTAGATGAGTGTAAATGTGTGTAGATGAGTGTAGATGAGTGTAAATGTGTGTAGATGAGTGTAGATGAGTGTAGATGAGTGTAGATGTGTGTAGATGAGTGTAGATGAGTGTAGATGTGTGTAGATGAGTGTAGATGAGTGTAAATGTGTGTAGATGAGTGTAAATGTGTGTAGATGAGTGTAAATGTGCCTAGATGAGTGTAAATGTGTGTAAATGTGTGTAGATGAGTGTAGATGTGTGTAGATGAGTGTAGATGAGTGTAAATGTGTGTAGATGAGTGTAGATGTGTGTAGATGAGTGTAGATGAGTGTAAATGTGTGTAGATGAGTGTAAATGTGTGTAGATGAGTGTAGATGAGTGTAAATGTGTGTAGATGAGTGTAGATGTGTGTAGATGAGTGTAGATGAGTGTAAATGTGTGTAGATGAGTGTAGATGAGTGTAAATGTGTGTAGATGAGTGTAGATGAGTGTAAATGTGTGTAGATGAGTGTAGATGTGTATAGATGAGTGTAAATGTGTGTAGATGAGTGTAAATGTGTGTAGATGAGTGTAGATGAGTGTAGATGAGTGTAAATGTGTGTAAATGTGTGTAGATGAGTGTAAATGTGTGTAGATGAGTGTAAATGTGTGTAAATGTGTGTAGATGAGTGTAGATGAGTGTAAATGTGTGTAAATGTGTGTAGATGAGTGTAAATGTGTGTAGATGAGTGTAAATGTGTGTAAATGTGTGTAGATGAGTGTAGATGAGTGTAAATGTGTGTAGATGAGTGTAGATGTGTGTAGATGAGTGTAGATGAGTGTAGATGAGTGTAAATGTGTGTAGATGAGTGTAGATGAGTGTAGATGAGTGTAAATGTGTGTAGATGAGTGTAGATGAGTGTAGATGAGTGTAAATGTGTGTAGATGAGTGTAGATGAGTGTAGATGAGTGTAAATGTGTGTAGATGAGTGTAGATGAGTGTAGATGAGTGTAAATGTGTGTAGATGAGCGTAGATGAGCGTAGATGAGTGTAAATGTGTGTAGATGAGTGTAAATGTGTGTAGATGAGTGTAAATGTGTGTAGATGAGTGTAGATGAGTGTAAATGTGTGTAGATGAGTGTAGATGAGTGTAGATGAGTGTAAATGTGTGTAGATGAGTGTAGATGTGTGTAAATGTGTGTAGATGTGTGTAGATGAGTGTAAATGTGTGTAGATGAGTGTAGATGTGTGTAGATGAGTGTAGATGAGTGTAGATGAGTGTAAATGTGTGTAGATGAGTGTAGATGAGTGTAGATGAGTGTAGATGTGTGTAGATGAGTGTAGATGAGTGTAAATGTGTGTAGATGAGTGTAAATGTGTGTAGATGAGTGTAGATGAGTGTAAATGTGTGTAAATGTGTGTAGATGAGTGTAAATGTGTGTAGATGAGTGTAAATGTGTGTAGATGAGTGTAGATGTGTGTAAATGTGTGTAGATGAGTGTAGATGAGTGTAGATGAGTGTAAATGTGTGTAGATGAGTGTAGATGTGTGTAGATGAGTGTAAATGTGTGTAGATGAGTGTAGATGTGTGTAGATGTGTGTAGATGTGTGTAGATGAGTGTAAATGTGTGTAGATGAGTGTAGATGTGTGTAGATGTGTGTAGATGAGTGTAAATGTGTGTAGATGAGTGTAGATGTGTGTAGATGAGTGTAAATGTGTGTAGATGAGTGTAGATGTGTGTAGATGTGTGTAGATGAGTGTAGATGTGTGTAGATGAGTGTAAATGTGTGTAGATGAGTGTAGATGTGTGTAGATGAGTGTAAATGTGTGTAGATGAGTGTAAATGTGTGTAGATGAGTGTAGATGTGTGTAGATGAGTGTAGATGTGTGTAAATGTGTGTAGATGAGTGTAAATGTGTGTAGATGAGTGTAAATGTGTGTAGATGAGTGTAGATGAGTGTAGATGAGTGTAAATGTGTGTACATGTTTCTTCAGCCCGTTTTTCAGCCCGTTTTGGTCAGTTTGATGCTGCAGTTTAAAAAGCACTGTTTTTGTCCGTTTAAGAAAAATGATAAAAAGCGTCTGTTTCTGCTGTTTAATCTGCTTTTCTCTATCGATCATTTCTGAACGCTGCTGTTGGGTTTATTTTGATATATAATTTATAAGATCTGTCAAAGCCAGATTTCAATTTTTTAAACTATATTTTTGAACAAATAAACAAGCAAATGATTGAGTTGATAAATGGTTTATGAATGGATGAAGAAGTAAAATCATTGAACAAGAGACTTAATGAATGAATGAATAAATGAGTGAATGAATGAATGAATGAATGAATGAATGAATGAATGAGCAAATCAATAAATAAGTTAATGAATGAATGAAACAATGGGTGAGAGAGTATGAGTGAGTGAGTAAATGAATGAGTGAATGAATGAATGAATGAATGAATGAATGAGTGAATGGATGAATTAATAAATGAGTGAGTGTGAGTGAATGAATGAATCAATGAATGAATGAATGAATGGTTTCTAACCCAGGTAAGAGTCTGTCATGTCCTCCTGCAGGTTTGAGGCGTTGACAATGGAGGCGTTCAGCTGGAGGCGCTTCTCCTCCAAACCACCAGACCAGGAAAACATTCCGACTGCCCCGAACACACTCACCTCCTACACACACACACACACACACACACACACACACACACACACACACACACACACCAGAGCATTCACTGCAATGTTTTAACCCTTCTGTGGGTCAGTGTATCTGATCTCCAGCGGTCCACTGAGTGAGTGTGCTACTATAGCTCGTAGCTGCAGTTCTAGAATGTGTTTATAGCACAGCATCGGTTCCACATCATCAGCAGAACACTGAGAGGGATCAGATCAGACCAGGGATCCTGTGGGGCTGTTTTTATTGGCCAGTTTATGTAAGTTTTAATAAAGTGGTGAACTTCATTAACTGTAGACTGATCACTCACCCTGAACCATCACTGCAGCCCTGCACTGTAAACTCTTTCAGGGCTGCTGTGGGTCACGGATTCACGTTTACTGTATATATAAATACTGTATATTGTTCTGTCTGGTTAGCGTCATGTTTTATTGTTCTGTATATTTATGCTCGTGACGTGCTGCTGGCGCGCGTGACGTGCTGCTGGCGCGCGTGACGTGCTGCTGGCGCGTGTGACGTGCTGCTGGTGTGTGTTCAGAAGAGCCACATTTCATTCCATTGTATAAAAGTTATACTGAGCAGTGACGCTAAAGTCTACTTCTTCTACTCCTTCCATTCCTTATTTGCTGGAACTGAGAGCTCAAAGTGTTTGAAAGCTGCTGCAGCCACAGCCGTGATTATTAACACAGACATAAAGTGTAATGAGGCTCAGGTTGAGGTGGAGGCTCTTGTCAGTTAATCTCTGACTTTAGAATAAAATCAGTAGAAGCTCGTTTTAAGTCAGGAGTGTTTAGCACAGCTGACAAAGACAATCATTTTCAGGACGATGTTTTCCTGGAGTGACACAAGTAACAGCTGTTTCTTTATTTTGTGCTTTTAAATTTTACTCAGAGTGTAAATGCTCACATAACAGATTAAACATAGAATATAGATTATGAATACTGAATATTTCATAGTAGATACTGAATAACTCACAGTGTAGATACTGAATAATTCATAGCAGATACTGAATAATTCATAGAAGTTGCTGAATAAGTCAAATTAAACACTGAAGAGAATATTTTTTGTATAATTCAGTTCTCTGTAACTTTACTGACCCCTGACAGAGCGACGCTGAATCCTCCCTGAGACAGCTCCAGCTGGATAGACTTCCCCACATCCGCACCTGACACAAACACACACCACCTTTCAGGCATTAGGAATCGCTGTTTCAGTATATTAAACCACTTTCTCTACTAATAACTGAATAAATTGATGTATACTGGGCCCAAAAAACTGAGACCACCCTGAAAAACTGAGCTTTTTATATTTAATAAATGTTAAAAATGTAAAACAAAAAGAAAGTTATGAGCAGTGAAATGAAGAAGGAACACTGAAGGTTCTGCACTCATTCTAGACCACAATTTAAGTTTACCTGACCATGTAAAAGCTTCAAGGACTTTTTTTAGATTTGTTTTGAGTGTCGTTCCTTTAATGAGAGCTCGTGTTCATGTGAATTTGCTCTGCTCATCGGAAACAATGTAAAATAGAATCATTATCTCGAGTGCCATCTCAGTTTTGACCCCTCAGTATGTATAGCAGCGAACTATATAAAGTTTCCAGAGAAACAGGATGTTTTGCCGTGTGGGAGGAGGTGAAAGAAGCCAATATTACTATAGCTAGAGGTGATAGAGAGGAACACTCATTTACAGGGTTGGGTAGGGGTGGGGGTCTTCTTGGGTTTTCCAATAAATCACATCCTTAAACAAAAGATTTCAAAGATTCTGAACGTTACAGCAGATCTACAGCCACGTTTCTCCATCGCTCTTCAGTTTGATTTCAGATAAAACGTTCCTGCAGTGTTTCACTGCACAAAATAGAATCTCGTCAAGTGAAATGATCTTAAAACTAGTTGATCTGTCTAATATTTCTTATTTTGAGATGGTTGGGCACTTACTGTCAGATTATCTAGCTTATTTGTAGACTTTTTTACCTGTTTTAAGTACATTTATCAAGTAATATTATCTCACTATACTGGCAGATAATTTAGCTGGTTTCAAGCTCACTTCTTAAAACAAGCAAAAATAATTTTACTGAATAAAATCACTTAAAACAAGTAAACAAATGTTTGAAAATAAGTTAAATAACCTTAAATAAATGTAAAATTTATTGAGTAGATTTAAAATAAATTTACTTGACAAGACTCCATTTGTTGCAGGGTTGGAAGTACAAAAAACAGGCAAACACCCGAAAACATCAGTAAAACCATCAGTATTTTGAACTTGGCCCTTTTATCACCTTCAATAGCGAATATCTTCTGCGTCAGCTGGTTGAGGATGTTGGCGAGAGCACTAAAGCTTTCTGTTGTAAACACAAAGTCAGTAGACGAAGCTATCTCCTCCAGCTCATCACGAGAGGGCTCACGGCCTACCTGAGAGAGGGAGAGAGAGAGAGAGAGAGAGAGAGGGAGAGAGAGAGAGAGAGAGAGAGAGAGAGAGAGAGAGAGAGAGAGACAGACAGAGAGAGAGAGAGGGAGATACAGAGAGAGAGAGAGAGACAGAGAGAGGGAGAGGGAGAGGGAGAGAGAGAGAGAGAGAGACAGACAGAGAGAGAGAGAGGGAGATACAGAGAGAGAGAGAGAGACAGAAAGAGAGAGAGGGAGAGAGAGAGACAGAGAGAGGGAGAGAGAGAGAGAGAGAGAGAGAGAGACAGACAGAGAGAGAGAGGGAGAGAGAGAGACAGAGAGAGGGAGAGAGAGAGAGAGAGAGAGAGAGACAGACAGAGAGAGAGAGGGAGATACAGAGAGAGAGAGAGAGACAGAAAGAGAGAGAGGGAGAGAGAGAGACAGAGAGAGGGAGATACAGAGAGAGAGAGAGAGACAGAAAGAGAGAGAGGGAGAGAGAGAGACAGAGAGAGGGAGAGGGAGAGAGAGAGAGAGAAAGAGACTCATTCATCACAAAATTCTAAAAAACAACTAAAACTTAAGTTTCCAGAGTGAAACTGGATGTTTTGAAACTATACTCTACAGGAAGTGTAGGGGGCGATATGGCTTCTACTGTTTCATTTAAAAAGCTCTATAATGTTCATATGATCCACACAGTCACTCTGACAGACAGTCATATCAACAGAGTAAAAGGTCTTTGCAGCGTCTTTACCCCGATGGCGAACCTGGTGATGCCTCTCTTCTTGGCCTGAGAGATTACAGTGTCCAGCGGGTCTTTGTCGTTGGATTTTCCATCAGTGATCACAACCAGCAACTTCTGAGATCTGTTCCTCATCCCCACGCTCTCCTGAAACATACTGTCTCTGAGTGAAACCACACAGAAACAGAGAGAGAGATTAAATAAGGTACTATATCACTGTTTTAGGTGGTTACTATGGTGTTCCAGTTGGTTTTGCCAGGTGGTTATTATAATATCCATAATACCCACGTTTCTTGGGTGTTGCAAGATGGTTGCCATCGTACATAAAATGGTTGCTAGGGTGTTGCCAAATGGTTCCGATGGTATTCAGTGTGGTTACTGTGGTGTTGCTAATTAGTTAATATGGTATTGCAGATGGTTGCTAATATGTTGTTAAGTGGTTGATATGGTATACATGGTGGTCACCAATGTTTTGTTCAGTGGTTGCTATGGTGTCCTAGGTGGTTGCTAAGGGAGTTGCTTGGTGGTTGCTATGGTGTTCGAGGTGGTTGCAAGGGTTTTGTAAGAATGTGTGTTTATTTAAATGTGTGTGTGTGTGTGTGTGTGTGTGTGTGTGTGTGTGTGTGTGTGTGTGTGTGTGTATGTGTGTACTCACAGTACAAAGCGGATGGCGGAGGTAGTGTGCGTGTGTCCTTTAGAGTGTAAAACGCCTTTCATTAGTTCATCTACGTCTCGTTTTGACGCGTAATTCTCAAAGTTGAAAACAGCAGACACCTGCGTGGAGAACTTCGCCACGCCCACCTGAGACAAACACACACATTTATTACATGAAAAAAGCTCACACGATATACACACTAACTCACCTGGGGCTCGACTCACGAAAGCTTTCCTAAGAAAAAACTTACAAAGGACCTCAAGTCAAAAACTAAGAAGTTCATATGAATGTTCTAAATAAATACAGTCCTCATAAAAATAGTTCTCAAATAATCTCTTAAGAAAATCTTATTATGATTGTTTTCATATGTGGGCTATAGGTATTGTTGCATATAGCTTATGTTGTCATGTAGATTATCAGTATTATGTTGCAGATTTTTTAAAATACAATTATATTCTGTGACAATTATAATAAGCTACCATTTAAGAAGTTTTCCCTGTCAATTCGTAAAGTCTAAGACAAGCGTGACTCTGTCATAAGGGTGGGAAAATGGTTGAGAACATATATTTTTTCAGGAATACCACATGTTCCTATAATACTAAGAGTTATTAGAGTTAAGAAAGAAACATAGAAAATTCTTAAGAAGTTTTTCAAAGAATTCTTAAGGTACATTTTAGAGGATTTCCTCTCTTAAGACATGTTTGTGAATCCAAGTTCTGGTTGTGAGATGATGATGATGATGATGATGATGATGCATTTTAGGAAATAAAAACAAATCTCTCAAACCAGAAACCAGTCATTCAATTAAACTGATATTTGACTCTGTTGCAGTGACTGCAGGATTGCAAGGTGAACACAAGCTAAAACATTACCAAGAAATACAGTGATGTCTTGATTACAGCAGCAAGACGCTTTTGTTGTTTCAGTTATTCGAGTGAGATTCTAATCTGAGATCAGCTTTGCCTTTACTGCTGTTTCACTATGATTGTGTTAAACTGTGGGCACCGTCAATTCTACCTTATTTTTCAGAATTGCCACATTAAAACTAATAAAAAATTATTTAAAAATAATTTACAACACACATACACACCTGCGCTCGATCATCCTTAATGAAAGCCTTAATTATGTCCTTAATAAACTGAATCATTCTTTTGAAATCTTCATCTGAAATGCTGAAGGAGTCATCGAACAGGATCACTGCATCCATTGGGAGGATCACATGACATTCTGAAACACACATTAATTTGATATAATTACATAAATATTATACATGAATACAGGTTAACAAAGTATGCAGAGAAACAGATGGACTAGAGTCTGTATATACATATATACACACACACACACACACATAAATATATATATATGTTTCATTAATAAAGTGCAGATACCCTGGAAAGCAGGTCTGAGTTTTTGAGAGAGACTGATGTCAGGATTAAACTCGGCACAAATCCCATTCAGATAGTTAAACCCCTCACACTTCTGAACCAAATGAGGACCACACACCTGAGAGAGAGAGAGAGAGAGAGAGAGAGAGAGAGAGACAGAGAAAATTTTAATAAACAGTTTAACATATATGTACATATAGCTAGATAATATATCTATATTGATAAAATATTGATTTATAATAATTGATAGATAATGTATACAATATATACAACCGTGTTACATTTCAAAGTGGAAAACTACCATTCAAATTTCAAAATCATCATTCAAACGTTTGGAACCTGGACTCAATCAGCATAATGAGAAACAAACTCAGTTTATATCACAATACCTACATTTAGAGTCAGTTATTCATTCAGCCTAATCAGAAACTGTAGAACAGACTCAGTTTATATCACAATACCTACATTTAGAGTCAGTTATTCATTCAGCCTAATGAGAAACTGTAGAACAGACTCAGTTTATATCACAATACCTACATTTAGAGTCGGTTATTCATTCAGCCTAATGAGAAACTGTAGAACAGACTCAGTTTATATCACAATACCTACATTTAGAGTCGGTTATTCATTCAGCCTAATGAGAAACTGTAGAACAGACTCAGTTTATATCACAATACCTACATTTAGAGTCGGTTATTGATCTCTAATGATATTTATTTTGTGTCACAGTGTCATGGTGGATTGGGTGGAGTTTTTGTGACTGTTCATGTTTCCAACAATAGAGGAAAAAGAACCTGTGTGGGCGGAGTGAGGGGAGGGTGATGATAACACAATTACACTTATAATGTCATTAATAATATCAAAGTCAGCAGTCATTGTGTGTGTGTGTGTGTGTGTGTGTGTGTGTAGGTGTGTGTGTGTGTGTGTGTGTGTGTATGTGTGTGTGTGTGTGTAGGTGTGTGTGTATGTATGTGTTGGAGGGGATTTTCTGGGGGTCCTCAACCTTTACAGGAAGAACAAACAGAGTGATGAATCTTCAGAGTTCAGAGGTGTCTGTGTGGGTGTGTGATCACTGGGTAAGATTAAGGTTGCTAAACGGTTCTCGGCTTGGACATACGGTTCTATATGAGGGGGGTATAGAACTTTACATTATGTGGGGCATCTTTAAACTTAAACATCTCGTTTACAAAATCAATTCCTTAAAGAACCCACTGAAAGGCTCTTTAAGGAACCAAAATGTAAGGTTTCTACATTCATAAAAAGATGGTTCTTTGAGGGTTCTTTAGTGAAGAAAACAGTTATGTTAACCTTTTTTCAAAAAGGTTCTATGTAGAACCATCTAAAGTGCAGCAGTTTCCATCAATCTGAAGAACCATTTCACAACGCAAAGCGTCTTTAATCGTGCAATTAGTGTTTATGGTTCTGAATAGAATCATTTTCTTTACTAAAACCCTTGAAACCCCATCTTTTTAAGAATGTAAGTTACTGAAGACGTTCCCTTGAGGGTTCCACTCCAGCAGCAGTTTAGAACCTTTTTATTCTGAGAGTGTTAATATAAATGACCCGAGCCCAAAATGGCAGAACATTAAGCTTTTAATGGTCTTAATAACAAATCAGTATAAACAGTCAGTAAATTAGCAAGAATGAAACAAATAGATGTGAGTGCAGTCTTACAAAGATGGTTCTTCAAGGGTTCTTTAATAAAGGCAATGGTTCTCTAAAGAGTCATTAACACTCCAAAAACATTTGCATGCATAAATGTATCTTTATATAGCACCAAACATCATTTACCATTGGTGCAATGGCAAGCTTGTAACAATAGCAGAACCCTCTTTGGTGCTCTATGGAACCCTTTTCAAAAAGGTTCTATATAGAACCATATACAGCACATTCTCCATCAATCTGAAGAACCATTTCATGATGCAAAGAACCCTTTAATCATGCAGAAGGTTCTTTGACGCTTTTTAAGAGTGCACAGCCTCATACCAAAGAACCCTGTTTGGCACCTTCATCATTAAGAGTGTGCGGTGAGTGTGAGTGAATTACAGCTGCTTCCTTTAGAGCTTAAATACACTGGACAGAATTTAATGGTGTGTTACAGAGGAAGTGAAAGACAGAAAGAGAAGTGTGAACTGGCCCTGTAGAGAGACAGAGAGAGAGAGAGAGAGAGAGAGAGAGAGAGAGAGAGAGAGGCACTCAAAGAAAACAATAGAAATATAAGGGGATTTCCTTTCTGTCTTAAACTGCCCAAAACTGACCCCAGCTCAGTACATTTCAGCAGGCGTGGCCTGAAAATGGTTAGTGCCCGCTGAAAAACACTGACTCACATCTTTCATACAAATGATACACATTTAATGTTCATAAATCTTCTCCATCTCCCACAAGACATCACTGACACCCTAAAGCAAACTAAATTGCAAGATTGTCGCAGGAGATCATTTTTGTTAGCCATTTAAACATTGGTCACTTCTTATTCCTTCCGAAAGACAAACAAAGAGGCCAGAACTCAACAGCGAAAGTACCAACTTCTCCAACTTCGAGGTAGTTTCTACATCAGTTTCAGTCCTGCTTCAGCGCGTGAGTTTTTCGCAATAGTGTATCGTCTTTACAGCTGCAGGGACCACCGCCATGACTGATCATAGGACCACCAAAACAAACAGGGACAGAATATTTATTCAGCTGCATTTTGTAAAGAAACAGTGAAATTTGTTTTCTGTGAGTGCTGTCACTGCTTTATGGCCAATCAAATCATTACACTCTCTGCCTTATTTTCCCAGCCCTCCAATCACTGCTTAGTAAACGTTGCTATCTGCTGCTGCTTCAAGCCGTTATCTGCGCACCACTGTTTGAATTTGTAGCTCCAGCTGTTGTTAAAAAAGTGTAAAAGATTCTGATAGAGTAGAGTATGTCGTTCTCTACCCATCCAAAGCCAAAAACACATTATCATAACGTTGCTGTCAGTAGTCGTGGAGTTGTGGTGTTTGCAGTGCTCGTTAACCAGCTACACAGATAAACGCACTGTTAAAACGCCAAAGCAAACATCTACTTATATGCATCGAGTCATCAACGGTAAGATATGCATATTTTTTCGTGCCTGCATGGCTGTACACTCTAACCAAGGACGGCTAATTTTGGGTGTTTAAGTATGCCGTGTGGTTTTTCCTCATCTCTGTACATCTCAGCTGTCTGACTGATTTTAACTCGGTTATGTTGTCTTCATTGGACAGACGTGAGTGCTTTATAATGAAGAGTGCTGTTGGTTAGTGAAGTGCTGGCTTTTACAACCCAATTTCCAAAAAAGTTGGGACGCTGTGCAAAATTAAAAAAAAATGAAATGCAGTGATGTACAAATCATTTAAACCCTATATTTAATTGAAAATAGTACAAAGACAACATATCAAATGTTGAAACTGAGAAATTTTATTGTTTTTTTAACAATATTTGCCCATTTTGAATTTGATGCCAACAACACATTCCAAAAAAGTTGGGACGGGAGCAACAAAAGGCTGGTAAAGTTGTGTAATGCTAAAAAAAAACACCTGGTGGTTAATGGGCAACAGGTCAGTAACATAACTAGGTTTAAAAGAGCATCCCAGAGAGGCGGAGTCTTTCAGAAGTAAAGATGAGGAGGGGTTCACCACTCTGTGAAAGACTGCACCATCAAATAGAGCAACAATTCAAGAATAACGTTTTATATGTATTTATATGTAAATGTATTTATAATTGCTTTTTATCATCTACGGTACAAAATATCATTAATAGACTCAGAGAATCTGGAGAAATCTCTGTATGTAAGGGTCAAGGCCAAAAACCAGTATTTGCTGGCCGTGATCTTTGGGCCCTCAGACAGCACTGCATTAAAAACAGACATGATTCTGTAGTGGAAATCACTGCATGGGCTCAGAAACACTTCTGAAAACCACTGTCTGTGAACACAGTTCATCACTGAGTCCACAAATGCAAAGTAAAACTCTAAAACACAAAGAAGAAACCGTATGGCAGACGTGCTCATCTGTGAAGGCACCATTAATGCTGAACGATATATACATGGTTTGGCAACATATGCTGCCTTTAAGATGACGTCTTTTTCAGGGAAGGCCTTGATTAAGACAATGTCAAACCACATTCTGCATGTATTACAGCAGCATTGCTCTGTATTAAAAGAGTCCAGGTGCTAAACTGACCTGCCTGCAGTCCAGACCTGTCACCACTGAGAACATTTGGCGCTTTATGAAATGAAAATTATGACAAAGGAGCCCCTGAACTGATGATCAGCTGAAATCCTGTATGAAACAAGAACAGGAAAACATTTCACTTTCGAAACTACAGCAGTGTCTCCTCAGTTCCCAAACACTTACAGAGTGTGTTAAAGAAGAGTTGATGAAACACAGTGGTAAACAGGCCCCCGTCCCAACTTTTTTGGATTGTGTTGCTGCCATCAAATTTAAAATGGGCATATATTTTTTGCACGTCATTGCATTCTATTTTTATTTACATTCTGCACAGCGTCCCAACTTTTTTGGAAATGGGGTTGTATGTCAATCCAGCATTCTGGTTGATTGTTATTGTTCTGTATCACTATAGGGCGTCAGTGTTAGAAAAGGTAGAGTAAAGACAGCACTGCGTTAGCGATAGGCTATAGCCTGATGTAATGAGATTGCAGGATGTAGCAATTGGAAATTGCATCGACTAAGTTGGCCAACCTACTTTTTCACAGGCAGATGCAAAAGTGTATTTCTGCTTATGCCACTGGTGTGAGCGCTTTGTGCGTCAGTAAAATGCACCACATTTAGTTGTGAAAAGAAAAAGTACACCCAGCCTCTGCACTCGAGTGTTAGAAACTTCATAGGGAATCTTTTAAAGTGGAGCTAGACTGTGGGCCAGTGTGTGTTAGTGACTGGCCACACCCACCTCCCCAACAAGCTGCAGATTCATACTGGATTAAAATCGCTCCACAATTATTACCGTCAGACTGTAAAACTACACACACTGCAGATTCATACTGGATTAAAATCATTACACAATTATTACTGTACAACTACACACACTGCAGATTCATACTGGATTAAAATCACTCCACAATTATTACCGTCAGACTGTACAACTACACACACTGCAGATTCATACTGGATTAAAATCACTCCACAATTATTACCGTCAGACTGTAAAACTACACACACTGCAGATTCATACTGGATTAAAATCACTCCACAATTATTACTGTAAAACTACACACACTGCAGATTCATACTGGATTAAAATCACTCCACAATTATTACCGTCAGACTGTAAAACTACACACACTGCAGATTCATACTGGATTAAAATCACTCCACAATTATTACCGTCAGACTGTAAAACTACACACACTGCAGATTCATACTGGATTAAAATCACTCCACAATTATTACTGATAGACTGTAAAACTCCACACACAGCAGATTCATACTGGATTAAAATCACTCCACAATTATTACTGTAAAACTACACACACTGCAGATTCATACTGGATTAAAATCACTCCACAATTATTACTGTAAAACTACACACACAGCAGATTCATACTGGATTAAAATCACTCCACAATTATTACCGTCAGACTGTAAAACTCCACACACTGCAGATTCATACTGGATTAAAATCACTCCACAATTATTACCGTCAGACTGTAAAACTCCACACACTGCAGATTCATACTGGATTAAAATCACTCCACAATTATTACCGTCAGACTGTAAAACTACACACACTGCAGATTCATACTGGATTAAAATCACTCCACAATTATTACTGATAGACTGTAAAACTACACACACTGCAGATTCATACTGGATTAAAATCACTCCACAATTATTATAGTCAGACTGTAAAACTCCACACACTGCAGATTCATACTGGATTAAAATCACTCCACAATTATTACCGTCAGACTGTAAAACTCCACACACTGCAGATTCATACTGGATTAAAATCACTCCACAATTATTACTGTAAAACTACACACACAGCAGATTCATACTGGATTAAAATCACTCCACAATTATTACCGTCAGACTGTAAAACTCCACACACTGCAGATTCATACTGGATTAAAATCATTCCACAATTATTACCGTCAGACTGTAAAACTCCACACACTGCAGATTCATACTGGATTAAAATCACTCCACAATTATTACTGATAGACTGTAAAACTACACACACTGCAGATTCATACTGGATTAAAATCACTCCACAATTATTATAGTCAGACTGTAAAACTACACACACTGCAGATTCATACTGGATTAAAATCACTCCACAATTATTACCGTCAGACTGTAAAACTCCACACACTGCAGATTCATACTGGATTAAAATCACTCCACAATTATTACTGTAAAACTACACACACTGCAGATTCATACTGGATTAATATCACTCCACAATTATTACTGTAAAACTACACACACTGCAGATTCATACTGGATTAAAATCACTCCACAATTATTACCGTCAGACTGTAAAACTACACACACTGCAGATTCATACTGGATTAAAATCACTCCACAATTATTACCGTCAGACTGTAAAACTCCACACACTGCAGATTCATACTGGATTAAAATCACTCCACAATTATTACCGTCAGACTGTAAAACTCCACACACTGCAGATTCATACTGGATTAAAATCACTCCACAATTATTACCGTCAGACTGTAAAACTCCACACACTGCAGATTCATACTGGATTAAAATCTCTGTTAGTCCAGTATAGGAGGGGTTAATAAGACTTGTTTTTACTCACCACTGCCCGCTGGTCACTGCAGGCGAGAGAAAGGCCGAACGCAGAGCCTGGCTGGACTACAACAGAAAACAGAGTTTATTAACCTTCAGAATGAGAACAGCCTGGATTATGTGGTTTCTGACACACTTCTAGATAGAGCAATCTACGGCACATTGTCTATCAATCTGAAGAACCCATTCACGATGCAAAGAAGCATTTAAGCATGCAAATGATTCTTTGAGTATTAATGGCTCTATGTAGAACCACTGTCTTTACCAGAACCCTTAAAGAAACATCTTTTTTCATCAATGTAAGACAACATTAGTGTACAATGTCAAGTTTGCAATAATAGAAGAACCCTTTTTGGTGCTGTATAGAACCCTATACAACACATTGTCCATCAATCTGAAGAACCATTTCACCATGGAGAGAATCATTTAAGTGTGCAAATGGTTCTCTGAGTGTTTATGATTCTACATAGAGCCATTCCCTTAACTAAGGAACCCTTGTAGAGCCAGATTTTTTAAGAGTGGACAGTAAAGAGTTCAGCGAGTTTCAGCTGAACTATTGCTTTAAAATAGTATGTTATATTCCTAAATGTGATATTTTTAGTCAAGAAGAAGTGATATGTTGCTCTGCGTGGTGTGAAAAAGCTCATGATGTGGTGCTTTACATTAAGAAATCATGCAGCTGTTTTTCACTCACACAGTTACAGTCAAGTCATAAAAGAAGAAGCTGTTTTTCACACCCTGCAGTGTTTTCAGAGGAAGTACATTCACCTCATGAAAAACGGCTGAGCGCCTTCAAACAGCCCATAAAAACAACCCTGAGTTTACACACCTGCTCAAATTCTAGCTTTTGTTAAGGAATAATTTAGCGTCTTTGATCTCCACCCGTTGTGTTTGTAGAGTACAGTCCATCAGCACACACCATCACTACAGCACAGCTCCCTAAACTCATAAAAGAGCTGAAACCTGTCAGCATCAAACTCCTCTATAACAGAAGTCAATGGGCAGTTGCTGAATCTTGATAGTAAACATTTGTGTGAAACGTATATTTCTGTAGAAAACTTGAGAGATGCTTATGAATGAAGCTGTAAATCTGTGTATCTGGTTCTGTTGGAGAAATACAGAGATGAATTTGTGCCAAAGTGAAATGCAGTCACTGCAGGGCAAGAAGATGAAATGCAATGCACACATGACATTAGTTTGTCATAGTCACGTGGAATATGTGGCAAAATGAAAAACCGTCTATTACACTGCTTTCACACCGCTTGACCTCTATAACTGAAAAACATTGTATGAGGAAGTAAACTTAAAAAAACTAAATCTTGAATTTGTGTCAGAAGTAAATACAGTCTACCCTGAAATGTAATCAATGCACAGCGATATGGCTTTCCACCAAACTACGAACGTGTCTCTCATTGAAATACAGTCGCAACAGTGAACACAGTGTAGCCCACATGAGGCTGTGTTTAAACAGCGACACACAGAAAACACATCAAAATGTAAAGTAAAAGATCTGTTACGCTGATTGACTGAATGTTGTTTGTAAAGAAGTACAGCATTAAACATCTTGTCTTTGCATTGTTTTCCATTAAATACACTCATGGTGTGTTAGTGTGTGTTGCACTGATGGGAGTGGATCAGACACAGCAGTGCTGCTGGAGTTTTTAAACAGTGTCCACTCACTGTCCACTCTATTAGACACTCCTACCTTGTCAGTCCACCTTGTAGATGTAAAGTCAGAGACGATAGCTCATCTGCTGCTGCACAGTTTGTGTTGGTCATCCTCTAGGCCTTCATCAGTGGTCACAGGACGCTGCCCACAGGACGCTGTTGGCTGGATATTTTTGGTTGGTGGACTATTCTCAGTCCAGCAGTGACACTGAGGTGTTTAAAAACTCCAGCAGCACTGCTGTGTCTGATCCACTCAGACCAGCACAACACATACTAATACACCACCACCACGTCAGTGTTACTGCAGTGCTGAGAATGACCCACCACCCAAATAGTACCTGCTCTGTGAGGGTCCATGGGGGTCCTGACCACTGAAGAACAGGGTAACAAAGTATGCAGAGAAACAGATGGACTACAGTCTGTAACTGTAGAACTACAGAGTGAAACTATATGGTCAGTGGAGCTGATACAGTGGACAGTGAGTGTAGATACCAGGAGGTGGACTGGATGAAGGGGCTAATCAGTGTGTGCACATATTTCAGACATTTACTCTCAGAGCTCAGTATCCGCCCATTGACTTCTGTGATAAGTGAGATAGATGAAAGCAGGTTTTGTGTTCTTTTTAGGTTCAGACAGACGTAGAGAAGTTCCTGTGTGTGGTGATCGACTGTACAGACGCAGCAGATACAGGTCAGACTGATAAATGCTTAAGTTTTCCTTTAAGGCTGTCCTGATTGTGACCTTTCAGCTGCAGCCTCACTCAGACTAGACATCTGAGAGTTTTAATGATGTCACAATATGATATGATTCATGGCAGTGTGACCACAGTGTGCAGTTTCTAAAGGTGGGGTCATGCAGCATGCTATCTCCTCCCACAGATGATGTTCACAGAGACTGGCCTGATGGCTCATGTGGTTCCATAAAGGGGAAATTGGGGGAATTTCAGTTTTCTGATGGACTGTCACTTTAACTAAAGCTTCTTTCATCACCATTAATATGATTTAAATGAGTTTATAAACATTCTGGATGAACTGAACCTCAAAAATGACCAGTGCACTCACCGTCCACATGGACAGGCTCGCATCTGCTTTTGCCATAGGAACACGTGAACACCCCACCGGTCCCGTTATGGTAGAGAGGGTCCGTTACTAGCACGCTGCAGTGAGAGAGAGAGAGAGAGAAAGAGAGAGAGAGAAGGAGTGATAGGGGAGAGATAAAGAGAAAGAAAAGGAGTGAAAGACAGAAGATCGAGAAAAAGAAAGGTAAAAGAAAGAGAAAGAGAAAAACAGCAAGAAAGAGTGAGATAGAAAAGAGAGAGAAAAAGAGAGATAAATGGATAGATAGATAGATAGACAGACAGACAGACCGACAGACAGACAGGAGAGAGTGATAAATGAGTAATTATTCAGAGCTGAGTTAATGTGCAGCTGTGATGTGAGGCCTGTGTTCACTGCTGGGGGAAACGTCTCTCTTCACCACGCCGCAGGGGCTTGATGATGTAACTTCCCTTTCCTTTTTTTAATCATGTGATTTAATGGTTGTCCACTTCCTTTAGCAATGTAAACAATTTACAGTAACAGAGTAAACGGCCCAAACTTTCACTGTGATAATCTAGAGCAGATAAAAACATTCACACACCAATCAATAGAACATACAACTGAGTAAGAAGTGTGTGCGTGTATATATATATATATATATATATATATATATATATACACATACACACACACATATATATATATATATATATATATAATATATATATATATATATATATATATATATTCATCATTTTTATATGATCATCTTCCAGTCTCTCTTTATCCCTTATAATTTTGGGGGGGCCAAACTGCTCTTGGATGAACAGGCTGTTTATGCAGATAATTTCATGATATGGACCCTTTAGTGTGTGTTGAGAATGACTCACTGTCGGCTGTCGGTGTGATGTTTCTTGTAGTGTGTAATGAAATGAAGGTGTCACGTCTGCTGGCTGGAACGGAGGAGTAACACTCACTAACACTCAGTACTGGAACTGAGCACTTTATCATTTCCTGACAACATTGCCTAAAACTGCCCGGCACCGTGACTCAGCAGGGTATTATTGGAAAATTGGACATATTAAGCTGCAAGGGATCACATGAATGAATGAATGAATGAATGAGTAACATTTTTGGAATAAATTAACTTAATAAATCAAAGATTTCTGGAATGTCTCATTTCCTGTACCATCAGGCTAATATGGCATCTATCACTCTGTCCCAGCATACAGAGCTGGCCGATATGTTATTGTTAATGTGATAAATTTGATCGCAGTGCTCTTTTTTTTGAGTTTGATGGGTATAATCAGCTCTGAACACTGTATAACATAATAAAGACAGATTTAGACACATTATAGAGAATCTCTAAACGTCAACAACCAGTGTGGAGTAACTGTATATACTGCACAGTAACTAGCAGCTCGATATTACATCATCTAGAGCTGAGCAGTATGACAATATTTATCATTATCGTTATAAGTTCCATCACAGCATGTCCCAATATGCTTTTCTGAGCATATCATAAATATCGTCAGCACTTAAAAACACTTTCCAACTGCTTGTTTGGTTAAAAGAGAGTTTAATCAGTGCTGTTTAGTGTGTGAAATGTTAAAAAAATCATTTGTATTCATAGTTTTTGAAGGTATTTTTAAAATATGGTACTTTGTCTGTGCAAACTTATCAGATGTCAGAAAATATATTGTTACATATTGTGTATCGTGATATCGCCCACATTTAACATCTCATTTAATGACTGTTTTTTTTTTTATTATTTTTCCTCCTGTTTCTTCTTAAACAGGTTGCTTTTGCAACATTATACTGGTAGTTTTTCAGTCTTCTATAAATGTAGCTCTGCTGGTTTGTTTGTTTAATTTGTCCTTTCAAGCTTCAATACTCAGATTTCCTAAATATCCTGATACATATTGCGCATCGTGATGCTATATTTATGCCGTGTCTCCTCACTAGCTACAAAACACCAATATCACATAACCAAATCACTCATTTAATTTCAGGTTGATTAACTGGACTCACCTGTCTCCTGGCTTAGACCCAAAGGGACAAACCCGAAGGCCAAACGCTGAGCCGTCCTTTGGAGATGGGAATATTCTGGGATTTTCCGTATCCAGATTGAAACCACAAGCAAAAGGAGCGACTGGAACAACACAGCAGTGTCAGCAACAGAGTAACGATCTGTACTGACCGGTACTGATCAGCATAGGAAATACTGGAAGAAATTGCTCAGAAGTGGTCAACATTGAAAAATATACCTTGGAAAGTATAAATCAATATTGGAAAGTATTGATCAGTACTGGCTTGTGTGGGGAAGGTATTGATCAGTACTGCTCTATATTCAAAAGTATTGATCAGTTCAGGTGAGTTTTGAAAAAATGTGGGTCAGTAATGAAAAGAACTGGTCATTACTGGAAAGGACTGCTTAGTACTTGTTAATATTGGAAAGTTCTGCTCAGTATTGAAAAATATAAGTCAGTTATTGTAAGTATTTAAAAATATTGGTTTGTAATGTTCAGCTTTGAAAAGTAATACAAATGACAGCATCTTTGTCAGCATTCTGTCTGAACTCTTATGGGAAAATGCCAAACTTGTAATATTTTTAAACATAAAAATTATTAAAGATCATGTACATTTTTTTTAATCATTTTGTTTTGTATTCGGTAAAATATAATCACATATCATGACATGTTCAGGGTGATATAAACCATGGTGCCTACTGATGAGTTTCTCACAGTTACAGTTAGACCCATGACCAGTGCAGAGGGCGAGCTGATGAGAGCAGAGATAACCCTGAGGCAGATGAGCTGATATCTGTTTGACCTTCACATCTGCAGCACATCCTCTCATTGTTCAGCTTTTTTGCTGTTCTGGCGCTTCATTTAAAAAACCGCCACACCGAGTCACGCGCAGCTACAACTTTTTGCACCAAGTTGAGGTCAGGGTCCTATTCCAGTGTTACGTTCCACTTTATACACTGTGGTGCTGCGGAGCCATTTAAGGTGGAATGGAAAATTTTAATAAGAAGCTAGTGATACAAAAAGGGATTAGACTACCGAACAACAGTTCAGTCTAGATTTAATCTGTATGGAAACCATCTCTTTACAGTAATCTAAACCACACTAACACACTTACATACTAATACACCAACATACTAATATACTAATATACTAATATACGAGAAGAAAACTTTTAAGAGCCAAAATACAAACTCTGTAACGAATTAAAGACTTACTGAAGAAGACAAAGCTGTAAAGTAGCCGCACTTCCAGCGCACACGGTGTGTGATGAGTCTCCATCTCTTTGATCTCAGTGTAAATTCCAGTTTCAGGTAAATAGATACATCAGAGTTTAAGATTAAACCAGGATAGTCCCTCAGAACGTTCAGCTTACAGAGTCAGAAGAGGAAAGTGAAAGCAACAAGTGGAGATTGTGAGTGTGTGTGTGTGTGTGGGAAATGGGTAGAAGAGTGGGGCTATGAAAGTTTTGACCGCAACAGACACTATGCGCACTCCCACACTAGATTGTCAGAGTAATGAGCCCCCCCCCACCAACTGACCATTCAGACTACTGCACTCCCACTACACCCGGTGTCGCAAACCCAAACGTTAAGAAGAGCCATTTTACCCTTTCAACAAAAACCAAACCACTATGGGAACCACATCTTTTTATGTCCATTTAACATCTTTGAACATTTAAAATATATCATATAAATTAACATTGCAGGCTTACGTTGCTCTGCTCTAAGCTTTAGCTCAGCTGTAGCCACTTTTCTCACATCTCCAGCAGGAAACGTTTCCACAAAAGTGGAATTAGTTTCTTGTAAAATGTCTCTCAACGTTTGATTTTTTTGTGCAGCTGAAGTCATCTTCTCATTCACCAGCTTCTTGTTCAAATTTTCCCATTCCACCTTAAATGGTGTAACCGTTACATTCTACCACCTCAGGCACCATTTAAGGCGGAACGGGAAAATTCAAACAAGAGGCTGGCGAATGAGGAGCTGACTAAAGTGTAGTATTTTGGTTCTCAGCCAGATGCCTCCACCGTGTGTTCAGGATGAAGATGACAACGTGTAATGTGAAGGAAGGAAGCTGTGGGTTCTGTAGGTTCCCTCAGCGGCAGTTAATTGTTTCCACAATGATGTCAGAGTCCTTCACCGTGCCTCCACTATCAACAAATCAGTGCACTGTAAGATAAAAAATGACCTGAAAACACTTTAATCAAAATGACCACATATGCTCTCAATTTTATTTTGCAAAATAATAGACGCTCTGCAAACTGCATCGCTCAACCTGTTTCTTTACAATGGTAAAAGTCTCAAACATTAACAAACTGTTATGCATCACATATATCACCTCAAAAATCACAGGCCTTCCAACACACAACCTGCCAAACCTGAAAAATAAGGCCTTTTTAAGAAGGGCCACCACAATAGCACAAGACCCTGACCACCCACTGCACTGTTTCTTCACTTTACTTCCATCAGTTTAGAGACACAGAACACTAGGGTGTAAAAAAGGCCGCACTGCTAAAAGTTTTGTACCGTCAGTATGTGTTTAGACATGCTTTTCTGCCTGTACTTCATGTTTGTTTTGATAGATTTTTAAATGTATATAATTTTCTAATGTTTTTCAGAACATTATAAAATGTACCAATGAAACACCCCTACAGACAGACCTTGTCCCTTAGCTAAGAGAAACGTCTGAGGGAATTTATACGCCCTTAATGAATTCCCTTTGGTGAGGGAAAACCCTCCATTAGGGTTCATACTTAAAAGGAAATTCCACCAATTTCTCAAAATTCCAGATTAATTCAGTCCTTGAGATGTTATCATAGAGATTCAGAGCGGTTTGGTGTGAAATTGTTCAGATGTCTTTACAGTGGTGGTGATAGGAACCAGGGGTCGCCATGACTACAACACAAATATAGACATTTTATTTACTATCCAGAACCACCAGTGAACCTACACGAGTCTTCTGAGTTTATATGGAATGTTGATGATGGAAAATAGTGGAAAATCTGAAATAATAAGTTTTCTTTGGGGACTATTTTGCCTCACAGCGCCCTACATATTATGTATCAATCCACCATGAATGGAGTTTAAGGCTGAAATCTTCTATAAAATAATGTAAAACAGTGTCTCAGTCATCAGGCAGTGAATTTATAACCATTTCATGTAGGAACTTTCTGTGAGGGAGCTTTTAGAGGTGGACGTCTGGTTCCTATCACCACCACTGTGAACAGTTCTGACTCGGTAAGTTTATCTAGAACAGATAAACTCCTCTGTTCACGAGGCTGAAGTTGGCCTCGTATTTGCCGTTGACTTTTCAGTTCCACCTTAAATGATGCAGCAGTTACCTTAGCGGTGCGCCGGCGCCAGACTGCAAATGCAGCGCCATTTAAGGTGGAACGGGAAATTTGAATAGGAAGCTGGCAAAAAGGAGCAAATCTCATCTTCGACCTCTTTTCCACAAAAAGCTCTGTGAAAAATACTGTTTTTCGTTTTCGTTCCATGTGTCGATTCTGATCATTGTTTATTGCGACCCAGATCACGAAGAAAGTGGAGCTGCAGTGCAGCACGAACAAAAAGCGTTTGTGTGAGTTTAAAGCTGCTAATGGAATAAACTCGTACTACTGAAACTCAGCCTCTGCCCTGTGTTAAACACTCCTCCGTCAAAATATTCACGGAGCCAATTACAATGAAAAACAGAGTCGAAGAGTCGACTCCCAGCATTTCGACTCTTAGAGTCTTCGGCCGACACTCCTTCACGCGTTGGAGTCGAAGAACCGATTCTTTTGAAATCGACCTTCCATCGCTGTGCTTCACTCCCTCCGAGAAAAACGACGAGAAGTGTCCGTTCAAAACCAGTTTATTGAGGCTTCTTTTGTCATTTAATCGAACTGTGAACCACCGTGTGAGTTAATTTACCTCACCGACAGTTTAGATTATCTGTGTGGTGCATTTTTATCTGGTAAACGTATCTTGTTAGCTAGCGAGCCACCAGCCTGCTGTCTGTCAGTCCTCTGGTTTGTTGCTAAGCTAATTTTTTGGTGCCTATTTTTCCACATCGACTGTTAACGCTATGATTAAGATATATAATCGATTTACTTTATGTTACCTAACAGCTGCTGGTTAGGATTGGTTAAATATAATTTCACCCACTGAAGAAAATAAATATAAAACGTTAAAAGCAAAATAGCTAAGTTAGTTAACGTTAGCTAAGCAGCTAATTAGCCTGTTAGCAGTTAGCTGGCTGGCTAATGTTGTGTTCTTTACCTAGATTAAGCACACATTTGGCTATAACGTTTTTTTAACTGATAAATATTTTGTCTTTATCACTCAGACAGTAGCTGTTATATTTTAGAGCGGCCATTTTGGGGCAGAAGTCATTTTTGGCTGCTTTCAGACATTCCTTTGGTGAGAACTATATATTATACATACTATATATGATCAGAACTGATATATTAACACCATGTAAAGTTAAAGAGATTCATGTTTTAATCTGTGTGTATCATACGATGCTAAACTGACAATGAATTCCTTTTCTTCCCTTATGTAAAATGTTTTATTAGCTAGTGAATAGACCCTCAGTGAAAACATTAGCGTCATAATGTGGTTCACTGACAGAGCTTAAAGCATCTTCATGAAGTCTTCTGTACATTTTCTGATGCTTTGTATTTTATTTTACTCACAAAGAAACTACAAATTGTAAAAATAATTTATATTTAGAGTATTTAGTCAGAAGGGCTTAAATGGTACATCATTACTGAAAACCTGCTCACTTTAAAGAAAAATCAGGTCTTAGTCCATGTTGTGTATTTGGTCTTTTTATATAGTGTCTTTGTTACATAGAAAATCACTGGATCTTCACTAAAGAACCTCATTAAACACAAGAAAATACAACTTGCTAAATATTTGTGCCAACATTTTTTAAAGATTTAATTAAGACAATAATTTGACAAAAAAAAAAACTGCTGTAAGTAAGATGTTCCAGGTAAATTGCAGACTATTAGAACCAATAATGTGTGTGTGCTTGCATAAAATTAAACTACATCATTCAGCCCACAAACCCTTAAAGCTGTTTTCTTGTGCTTGCTTTACAGGTTTATGCAGAATTCAGAGGAGTTACAGGAATTGATCAGCACCAAGTTTTTCATAACGCACTGGAAGGCCAGCTTGAGTTCTGATCAAGTTGTACCGCTGTATGCAAGGTGATGGAGTTATCCTGAGACTCATATCCTGAGAACCTCTCAGAATTTAGCCAGACACATGATCTGCTCCAAGAAGATCAAACGGTGGTAATATTTGCTTATTTTCAGGGAAAAATAATCTCAGAATTCTCATTACTTTACAACTACGTTACATTCTAACAACTCTGTACCAATCTGAAATAGCCAGTCTCACATCTTTTAAAAAGGCATCTCACCATCTTATAAGAAAAATCCAGCACACTCCACATGGTTAGCTGGCCTCTGGTCAGGGAAAAAAAAACAAAACAAAAAAAAAACAAAACATACACACACACACACACACACACACACACACACAGAACAGGGATTGCAGTATTAACTACCATTCATTAAACGTTTACATAAACAACAAATAATGTGGCTACTCTCCCCATTTACTTCTGCATTGCTTAATTTACCTCTTTGTGCACCATTTTAGATTGAAAAGCTAAAAAGAAATTGTTTTCTTGATACATTAGAATAAGAAATGCCATCCCTGGTGATAAAACTGTGCTACTCTGCGTTAAGTGTTGGCTACACTTCGTGTTCTGTTTTCCTTTCGTTTCCTGCAGCTCGCTCTCAGCAGAAAAAGAGCTGACAAGAAGCCACTGGAGCTCTTTCAGCTCACACTAAATTATATCAGCACGCATCAGCAGCAAACCACAGCATATTATTTCAAGCAAGGACACAGACAACAGCCTTAGCTTTAGCTTACAAAACGCTGTGTCGTGTGAGAAGCTGGCGTCTGAGTCTTCCTCTATTGATTGATTGTTGTTTGGCAGGATAACTTGGGGTGCATTAGGCATTAAGATGCATGAGGAATAGCTACACTCCTCGCACATTTCAACAAAGTTGTCAGTCAGCAAGCAAAAATAAATCTAAATAGCTTTTTAAAGTGGAAAACACTTTACACCAGCAGTAACAGTGTGTTCACATGTGAGAAAGGAGTAGGAAACTGCAGTGCAAAAGAGTACAGGTGTAACGAATGGGCTGGCGAGGCAGACCAGGAGGCGGGGTACATGTGCGAGCGTGTTTTATTTGAGTCCTTAGGTAAATACTTCAAACAGCAGGTAGGTAGGTAGGTAAACAGTATCCATAGAGAACATATGAAAACAAGGTAACAGGAACCACTAAGAAAACAAACTGACTAGAAAAAAAACTAAAAAACAGTATTGACAAACAAAGAAAGCACAGACAGGGACAGAGAAACATAATAGACCAAACCAGGAACACCATCAAATATCAAACAATGCTGGCTGGGGAACAAAGAAAACACAGGGTTTAAATACTAACAGAGAAAAACGAGG